GCAAATAACATTTATATTTCGACAAGGGCAGTCTAAAAAAAGAAAAAGAAAAAATCATTTTATTACAACATTTTTAAATTACTTTACGTGAAGAATTCAATTCTTTTTCAACGAATCTCGTTTGTAGTAAACATGACATTTAATCTGTCTTGTTTCTAATAGCACCTTTTTACCGTCGCTAAAAATGTTTAAATATATTTAGAAAGAAATTTTTGCTAGTTTCTAAATTAAACTGTAGTTCAAAACTATCACATACATAAAGAAATGCCATATACAAAAGTTGAAAACGTTTCCATTCAAGTTTTAAAGCTTATGTGACGTTCCTGCAATTAAACGAACAACCCCACAAAAATTGGCTCTAATTTTAGCTAGTCCGTGGAGCCGGTACTTTGCCAGGGATCCGTGCTAGAAGAGTAAGCACCAGTATGTTCCAAAAAGAATAAGATGTACTTACCTTTGGTAAAGTATCAAGATGACCTCTGGATCGAATTGTGTCAACTCCCGATAATCAACGGACCTAACAGCTTCTGAATCGATTATGTTGATTAAACGGTCGCAGGATTATGGTGTAATATGGGTTTTATCCATTAGAATAATGTCACTTTTTCACAGGTAAGACTAAAGTATATTCTTATATAAAATTACACAATTGATTACACAAAAAAATGGAGAAGTCTATCTTCCTAGCCAACAAAATAAGAAGAGTATCTTGAAAAAGACTTCTCTTGTTTAACGTATAAAAGAGACAAATCTTAAAGAGTTATCTGAGGCATTCTTAGAGAAAGAGAGACCCTTAGGCGCAGAACGTATAAGTATGTATTATTAAAAAGAGGTAATTATTATTTTGTTTTAGAAAAATATATGTTACAATCAAGCGTGAATTCTTCGAAGAGAGGATGGTATTAAGTTACTATCAGTTAGAGATTCTCGGAACTGCACGTGTGTTTTATACTTGAGCTAATAGATTTCCTTTCATTGCACGTGTGCCTTAATCACGACCATGGAATTTCTATGTGCAAGCTAACAATATTACCCTTTATTAAATCTTAATTATTAATCATTTTATTAATTATTAATAATTGTCAAGGTTTATCCTTGATTAGAAGAAACAAATAAGATTTATAAAAATGTTATTTGCAGCAATTATTTAAATAAAGACAAGTGCTAATAATAATTGGGACATTAACTAAATGTTGGACAATAATTGTTGGTAATGTGGGAGCACGAAGTCGGTAACACCGACTTTCCAAAGACCGTTTACCGACTTCAGTTGTCGGTAAGGCAGATTTCCTTAYAAATGACCATCAACATACGTTCTATAATTACGTTATGTCATCTAAAAATGATAATTAACGATGGACGTTCATAAGCGCGCCCAATACAAATAGACTATACAATGAATACAATATAATTTTCCTATAAATCGTAAATAGAAATAGTGTAAAATATAAAAATAAAGTAATGTAAAATAGAATTTACAATGAGTATAATTTAAAGTGAATTACTGTACGGTTATTTGTTATACAACGGTAAATTATCCTATTAATTGTATCTTAACCGCGCGCAAATGTTAATAAGATAATGTAATAATATTAATAATAATTTAATAAATGGTAATAATATAATATAATGTTATTATTAAAAATATGTAAGTGACAAAATTTTGAAAATTTTCATAATTATGACAGGAGGACAAATCACAATCCTTTGGGTAGTACGTTCGGTATCCCAAATCGTCACTAGGATGTGACACCTCCCCCCTTTACGAAGAAGCAACCTAGAAAACTATTTTCTAGTGCTTCGTAAAGGATCAAAACTACAAGGGAGATCGTTTTCCAAGTTAAAACGTACATTCTTACCCGAATTTCGAGGTTGCAAATCGTTTGTGATTTGAACTTTTGGCCGTTCCGATACGATTTTCCTTAATTCTATTTCTTTTAATTCTTTTGGTGTATCTTGACGCTTATTTCTGTTTTTCAGATGTAATAATAGGTTCGTCAATGATTATCAAACAGCGCCAAGAATGTGCATACTCCACCCATACCCCGTATGCAAAGCATAACCACGCAAAATCGAGTCGATTACAAGCTTTAATAGCTTAAAAATAAAGTTTATTCCTAATACTTCTGTACTGACGGACCCGAACCTTAATAGTTCATTCCACATACGTGTAGTAATCTTTCCAGTGAGTTTTTGCATCTCGTTTTTACTCACAAGATTCACAAAATTAAATGTTTCTGAATTTAATTTCTGTCCAGCGGCTCCACTTGCGATATGGTTCATTATTGACGGTTGATTCATTGAAAAAATGACATGGTTTCGTTCGCTTTTCAAGTCGGTCTGAGAATAAATACCGCTTGTTGCGAGGGAGCCCGCATCGGTGTACTTCCAATTGGAAGTGGTTTGTGGTTCCAAGATATGTGGTTTCTTAACGTACGTTGGTTTTGGCAGTAATTGGTACTAGACGCCTTCGACGAAGTACTCATGCGGGAGCAAGGTATTGCAGGGCTCCTGCGTTCCTTAGCCTACCAGAATCCTAGATTTAGGTTTCAGAAACATACTCGTATTTTGGTATATTACTGAAAGCTCCCGGAAAAAATTATCAGTGTGCCTAATTTTGACCGGAACAGGGATGCATTTGATAATGTGCGCCACTTCTCCACCAATGACCGCCATGTGTTTTGGGCTCTTCCTGATTGTTACAGCAAAAAC